AAAAAATAGAGAAAAAAAAAGAAAAGAAAAGTGATAGTAAAGGAGATGGAATCAGTGAGTAGGATGAATCTAGGGAAGCGTTCTAGAGAAGGAACACCAGCAGCTGTGAGCCCTCTGTCCTTCTCCCAGCCCTCCAAGCAGTTGTCCCCATGAAACACCAAGCACAGCCACCCCTTTAAACTGCTGGCCCAGGAGGCCTGAGGAGAGAAGGAACATGCCAGCCCCCATGGAGGACCCAGGGCTCTGAGATATTTCCTGGGCAAGAACTCTGAGAGAAACTGTGCAAAGGATTTCCAACCTATGCTCCTGCCCACCCAAGGTCTGGCTCTGTGTCCATTTTATTCCTTACAAACCACTCGTTGGCCTTTTAACATCAGTTCCGTAAGTAGTCAGCACTCAATCACAAGAATGCATGCGTGTGGCTTTGGGTACTTGAAGGCTGTGATAAGCAGGCTGCTTTCAGAGTGGGGCTCTCCAAACACGGGTCCCAGCAGGACAGGAGCCAGCTACCCAAGAAAGCAGCCCTCTCAGGGTGGTTCCAGGCCCTCTTTCCTAAATCCCCTCCAACACAGCTTGTGGGATGAATCACAGTGCTACATGTCCTCACACTGTCCTCTCTACCTACCCTACTCCTGCTCCAAAGAAGATGCCTGTAGTTAGTGAGCCACCTGCAGAGATTAGCCAACCTGAGAACCACAAAGAATGAGTCTTCAACTTTTCTGTGATTTATAATCAGAAGCTGAGTTTTCTTCTGAAGGGTTATCTGTGATTGTAGATAAGCCCTAATGTGTCCTTAACACCCTAAAATGCCACATCTTTCTGAAGAATCACCGCCTCCTCAAACACATACACACAGAATGTGCTCACACACACACAAAACATACATGCACATACACAAACACATGCACACACATCCTATGTGGCACCTCCCCACCAGAGATCTTGAGAGGCTGGGCAGGGGAAGCAGGATGAAATTCCACCAGCCAAATGCCATTGCTATGCCTGGCCCCACATTCCCTGCACAGTTTGCTCACTCACACAATGGCTGGGTTTAATCTATAACTCCAGGCTGAACCTTCCACTCCTAATCATCTGAATGAATCATCTCCCAACTACTGTCAGTCAATAGGTCTCAAGAGTTCCTTCCATTCCACCAGAATTTACCAAATGCCTAGTAATGCTGAGTAGCACACTGGACACTGTGAAACATTTGCTTTAAGGATCCTCTCCTCTGAGGGTACAAGTATAGACAGGAACCATGCTCTGGTCTGTCACACTGCAGAAGTTACAGGCTAGCAAGCTCACGTTTCAGAGTTAAGAGTCTAAAGGTTACAAATCTTAAAAATCTGAGCTGCTAAGTCTTACAAAACCTCAAATACTTCTGTGTATTAATTCTATAAACTCCCATCATTTCCTCACTGGTAGGATAAAAGGTGACAATCAACTGTTATCCTCACAGATGTATCATCAGGACTACTTCTGGTATTTGTCTAAAAGCATGTCACATCAGCCGCTTTTATATGCTAACTAAGTAGATGTACTAGTTAGGTTTTCCTCACTGAGTGTTATAAAGGGAAACAGAAGTAGGCGTGGGGCATTGCCCTCACCCCCAACTCTACCTCAAAGACCCACGCAGAGCCGCAGAGAGCCTCTGGCCACTCTCTGATGCTATAGCACTCAGCACACTTGGTGTTGACTGGAGTCATGAATAAAGAATTAGGATCTCAAATTTGATAGAAAGAAATTACCATATCTTTCTTAGAAAAACATTAACCTTCAAACCAACATGGCCAATTTGAAGACCATTCGCTCCTTGAAATCAACTGTACTTGAAGTTCCTAAATTTTAGAATGCTATGGGGAAGTAATATCTTCCTCAAAAAAATGTAATAACCAGCATGATTGTCACATTTTCATCTTGACATGTGAAGATGTAAAAGAAACAACTACATCTCATGTCACCATCACTTTTTAAAGAAATGATATTTTAACACACAAAAATGTTGTAGGCCAGGGTTTCAGAATTGAAAGTTTCCCCTCACAAGAATGCCCTACTGGCATTCTTTTACTTACACTTTTCCTAAAGACTGGGCTGCACACACCAATGGGCCAACAGGGCCGGCAGCACAGTACTGCAAACCGTGGTCCACACCTGCCACCTCTCTGGTGTGGCTTGACTTAAATAAAACTCTTTACACACACAGCAATTACTAGTTGGGAGCTTTTTCCCTCTAAAATCACCATGGTGCTTCAGCTTCAAGCCAAGAAACCTGCCTTCTCCAGCAGATCCTGGCTTCTCCTCCCAACATTTCTCTAAGGAGGGAGCACCAGGGCTCCTCCTGGTTCACACTATTCAAACTGAAACCAGTGCCACCAGCTTCTGAAGGACACAGCTTAGTCAGGATCATTTGGGTCACTAAAAGTACACCATAATTAACAGTCAATTTATTATTAGAGCTGTCATTTCAACACATAGCTGGGTAGAGCAAAGTTTGAATGTGGTACATTAAACAATAGCAATTGAGTTCCAGTGATGAAAGAAGGATCGTGCTGTTCTTCATAGCAAAGATGATGCTACTGGTCCCGGGTCAGTGGGGCAGTTTCTGAGTTATTTTCCTAGGACTCCAGGGACTTCTTTATGGCATGGGTGTCCAAAGGAAAGCCAAGTTGAAAGTAAGGATGTGGTGTTATATGAGAAAACAACAAAAGGATAGCATCACCTTCTATACCTTATGTAAATTCTCCCTCTTCACATGCCTATGAAGTAAGTATTCCTATTCTGGTTAACAGACAAGATAACTGAGGATCAGAAAGCTTGATCGTTCCATAGTCAACAAATGCTTACTGAGTGCTGCCCATGTGCAAACACTGCATTAAGTGCTATAACTTTGCCCTACGTGACACAGCCAGAAAACCGCAAAGGGAACACCAAACCTCAGTCACTTCAAGTCTTTTCTATTCCATGCCTGCCCCTCAGGCTGAGGTCAGTGTTGCAACACAATACTACAGGACATCAGAGCCAAAGAACCATGCTGAGAAGGACCACATGGTCCATTTCTTTAGTTTGCTCTTCTGCAAGAAAAGTCAGTACTGACTGATTTTTCTCAGATTTTTCTCAGACACCTGCTATCTCCAAGGGCAAATCAAAGTGCCGCTGTCATATTAGTTGCAGTACTGTCCATGATGTATGGTCCAGAACTGGCTGCTGGGGGTTGGTCCGCCCTTACAACCCAGTGGGCCAAACAGAAACACCCCAGTAAAGCACACATGACACCCTGGAAGAGAAAGGAACAGATTCTAAAGTTATGACAGTTTCCAAAGCAATGAGACCAGAAGCCAAACAGTGGGATTTATTTGGAAGGTCCTGCTCCTGGGACAGGGGACTGAAACGTCCAGTTTGACTCAGGCTGCTTCAAGAGTCTGGGACCTGCCCCTCAAGCATAGCCGTGTGGTTGCCTGGTATGTGTACCATGCCAGAGGCTTTGAAAACAATGTCTGCCATCCGTTCTGGTCACCATCCCAACTGACCAGCCTGCCATACAGTTGCATCAGAGAATGGGCCAGTCACACACTAGGTTGTCTATCTCAAGAATGCCAAAATCTTCATGAATGAGCCACCCTGTGCCTGCAATCACAGGGAGGTGGGGCCAACAGCCATGGGTCACGTAACCAATGCCAAACACAAGAACCTAGGCTGGATCAATGGATGAGTCAGTCGAGGGGTATATAAGTTGGGAGGTCAGTACTCTTCACATCACCAGCATCTCCTCACTCACCCTTCCTGCTGCTTTGGGTAAGTTTAGGTTCTCTGGGCTCTCTCATCTTTCTGGCTGGCCTCATTCAGGCCAGCACAGCCTCTCTCCTCTTTGGGAGCTACAGGCCCTCTGCTGTCCCACATTTAGAGGGGACTCAGGAAACAGGCAGGGAAATGAGCTGCTGCCACGCAGGTGGTGTTTCTGGTCTTCTGGCCAGAATATAAGCTCCACAAAAACAAAACTGTCTCCTCTCTGGTTCCCTCATACAGGCAGGCATGGAGCTGGACACAGAGGAGGGACTCTGCAGAGCTTGTCCAAAACAGTCTGTGCATGGGCTGAGTGGACCTCATGAAGTTGTCAGGAAGAGAGGCTAAGCCTATTCTCAGACACTATGGAGAATGTTCAGAAAAAGTTAACAGATAGGAGGGATTTTAGCAGCCACAGAAACCCAATTCCTGTTTTACAAAAGCAGAAGTTCTGAGAGGTAAATGACGTGTGAGATGCTGGGATACAACTTCCCAGTAGTTACAGTCTCCTCTCCTAAGCTTGAATTTAAGCAAATCATAAAAGACATGGTGGATCTCTTCTGGTTAGAGCTGTTGGTCCAAAGCACCATCAGAGTCCTTTCTCCAGGTTCTAGATGGGAACAAGTAGAGTTTGTCTTTTCTGACAATGAGTTGCTGGATCATGGCCTAACTCAGTGGGCCAGAACAAGAGTTTGAACTAAGGACTTTCGCAGAAAATGGAATGCAACAGCCCTTCACAGAATGGAATCCAACTAACCTCCTTCTGTAGTGCTGGGAATGGGTAAAATCCCCATCCTCGGTAGAAGTTTGTGGTAATTCTGTTTGCACTCAGAAAGTCAACTGGCATTGGAAAAGACCTGAGAGAGAAAGTGCCCAAATCCTCTTTTTATAGAAGATGATAAACAGGGAGGAGTGAGGGTGACGTGCCCCTCAAATCACACAGCAGAGAATGGGTAGACAGGCGGGAGACAGAGAACCCGCACCACTAACAGGGCTACCTAAAGACTGGCGACGGGCTTTCTCTGGGCAGAGCGGATCTCAGCCGTTTTCCAAGAACAGCAATCCTGGGGCGCCTGAGAAAGCAGGAGCCTGGTCTGGGCAGGATGCTGGGAGGGTGGTGGGTGTTGCCATGGGTGCGGCCGCCTGCTCAGCTTCCTCTTGCCAGTGGTCCAGCGATGCTCTCTTGTCCCCTTCCAGGTTCCCCTTCCTCCTTAAACAAGATGTCTCACCAGAGAAAGCAGCCCACTCCCCAGCCCCCAGTGGGCTTTGGGAAGACATCAGGCGGCGGCGGCAGCGGCGGCTGTGGCTACCAAGGTGGTGGTGGCGGCGGCGGCGGCGGCGGCTTCGGGGGCTGCGGTGGTGGAGGCTCCGGTGGTGGCAGCGGCGGCAGCTCCGGAGGAAGTGTCAAGTACTCAGGAGGAGGCGGCAGCTCCGGCTGCGGCGGCGGCTCCTCCGGGGGCGGCGGCAGCGGCTCCAGCTGCAGTGGTGGCTCCGGAGGGAGCGTCAAGTACTACGGGGGCGGTGGCGGCTCCGGTTTCTGTGGCAGCTCCTCCGGGGGCGGCAGCGCCTGCTTCTCCTCTGGAGGTGGCGGCGGCTCCGGTTTCTGCGGCAGTTCCTCTGGTGGCGGCGGCTCCGGTTTCTGCGGCGGCTCCTCCGGCGGCGGAGGCAGCTCCTCCGGCCAAGCGGTCCAGTGCCAGAGTTACGGAGACGGTTCGGGTAGCGGCGGGGGCTCCTCGGGCGGTGGCTCCGGCTGCGGCTCCTCGGGCGGCGGCAGCGGCTGCGGCTCCTTCCCGCAGCAGAGCGCCCAGACCGGGTGCGCACCCCCTCAGGGCTACGGAGGGGGCCACTCCTCCGGCAGCGGCTCCGGCTCCAGCTGTGGCTACTCCGGCGGCTCCGGCTGCAGCGGGAGCTCCTCGGGCGGTGGCTCCGGCTGCGGCTACTCCGGCGGCGGCAGCGGCAGCGGCTCCTTCCCGCAGCAGAGCGCCCAGAGCGGGTGCTCGCCCCCTCAGGGCCAGGGAGAGTGCAAGTCCGCCGCCGGCGGCTCTTCCGGGGGCAGCGGCTGCTTCTCCAGCGGCGGCGGCGGCGGCTCTGGGGGCGGCAGCGGCTGCTTCTCCAGCGGCGCCTCTGGCTGCGGAGGTGGTTCCTCCGGGGGCGGCGGCGCCTCCGGCTGTGGGGGCGGCTCCTCAGGGGGTGGCTCTGGGGGTGGCTCCGGGAGTGGCAAGGGCGTCCCTGTGTGCCACCAGACCCAGCAGAAGCAGGCGCCTACCTGGCCATGCAAATAAGCGCCCCAGGATGTCCCGGAGGCGGCAGTGCTGTCCAGGGGCTTAGCGCTGTCATGATACTGCCAGGTGTTTGAGGATCCTTCTATGGAAGAAGCCATTGAGCACTCAGGCTGCACCTTGTTTTGGAGTTTTTCCTCCTCCTTGGTTTCTATACAGCTACCTCTCAAACTCAATGGCTCTTCAGTCAATAAATTCCTTCATGACCATCTCTGGGTCTCCAGGAGTCTTTGTAGCTTCCGATTCATCCCTTCCATTCACTGTTTCTCTCTCCCTACGCTCTCATTCCACAAATACGCCTGCGCTGTGGGCGGGAGGGTGAGCGGACAGACGCTAGCGGGCAGAAGAGGAAGGGACCGCTACAGACAAAGGCCAGAGATGTGACTCTGCTTTATGGCTTACAGTCATGAAGTCATGCGAAAACACAAAGATCCGGGGAGAGACTTCAGTAAACAACCCGCAGTGGCCTGGGCAGTCATCGTGGGTCTCCTCACTGAACTCCGTGCTGCCCGGGAAAGACACGGTCTCTCATAGCGCACGGCCTACTCTTTGAGGTCTTCTCGGGCGGCAGCAGCTGCTTCTCCAGGGGGGCTTCACTCTGGGAGAACAACTCATGTGACTCACACTTACAGGAGAAGGAATAACCATGCCAAATATTTATGATTCCCTGCAGTGTGTGAGGCAGCTACTAGGTAAGTGCAGGGTAGGAGAAAGTTGGGAAGCTGTTCCCTGCTCTCTTGAAGGAGCTCCACCCATGTCAGGAACACATACATTTATGAGATGCTGAACATCAGTACCAGAAGTTCGTGAGAAAACACAGGAAGTTTTTCATTAACAAGGAAGAAGTTGCAATAGCTTCAAGAGCTGTATATAACCTTTAAAAGAGATGTAGAGCATCACCCTACCAGGGACTTTCCAGGTTCTCTTTCATATCCTGATTTAAGAAAAATGCCAACTTATCGATTTACTCAAAGTAAAACTCCTGCTACATCAAAAAGACAAAGTGTCCTTCCTATGCCATAACTGCTAGAAAAACAAAAAGACTAATCCTCTTTCCACAATTCTTCCATTTGGAATAACCACCACCTTCACATTTTGTATCAGTAACTTACAGATATGAAAACAGCAGCCCAAACGGTCCAGTAAGTAGTTCAACTACTGTGCTATTTTTATAGTATTTAACAAATAAAAGTCAGACTTTCAAATCTGGACAAGATGAAATAGATGCATTTTTTACTATTGCTCCTGTTAAGAAAAACTAAAAATCTCTGGGCATAATATATAAAACAAACATAAGAAGACTTTGAAAAATAGAAGAAGGCAGAGGTAGCTAAAGTCCTCAGAACTAAATTATTGACCCAAGGTGCTCTTTTTTGCCTTCCATACATCCCAGATTGAACATTCAAAAAATCTGCAACCAAGAAATTCTGGCAGAAACAAATAAAAAGTAGCCCCCAGGAGATCTTATTTCTTTACCAAAGGACAGGCAAAGGTGTAGACTAGCAAGACAAATCTTTTTGACTGAATTTTCCCTACCTCAGCCAAACATCAAAGAAAGAATAGGAATTGTAATCCTGGATTTACATTATGAGAAGAAGTCCACATAGACTTACCACTGGTAAGAAGATGGCACAACTCTTCTCACCTCACTGGTACAACAGAAGAGGTGTTGCTATAATAGAAGACTTAAATAAAATCCAGGATAGTACAAAATATAATATAATATCCAAAGTGTCCATCACACAATAAAAAATCACAAGGCTGGGACCAGTGGCTCACGCCTATAATCCTAGCACTGTGGGAAGCAGAGACAGGCGGATTGCTTAAGCTCAGGAGGTCAAGACCAGGCTGAGGAAAAAGTGAGACCCTGCCCCTAGAAATAGCCAGGTACTTGTCATCCTAGCTACTTGAGAGGCTGAGGTAGAAGGATCACTTGAATTCAGGAGTTTGAGGTTATGAGTTATGACACCACTGCACTCTAGCCTGGATGACAGAGACACTGTCTCCAAAAAAAAAAAAAAATCATATAACTATGCAGCACAGAGAGAACCTTAATATACGCAAATAATAAAAGAGTTAAAAACAATTTAAAAGGTTGAGGCATCCTGGAATGAAATGAGACTATATTAAAAATTTAATTGTATCATTAAACAACTTCACTGGAAATAGGGGTGAAGGGCATATGTATCTAAATAAACGTGAAGTAACTTTGGAAATGAGTGATGTCAGTAAAACTAAAGGCAAAAAGAATTTCACCTGAGCACTACATAAGCACTGCACTCTAGTTGATAAAGTTGTTTCCCAAGGGATATGAGTTAAAAATTCTGATATTCTCATAGTTGTTGTGTTAAGACATTTATATTCCACATTTAGAAAGATTCACATGTACCTTTAATGTACACAACTATGATTTAATAAAAAATAAAAATAAAAAAATTCTTATATTGTGTACACTATGATTGAAAAATTAAGTAAACAAATGATGAATAGAGAGCCAAGTTTCTCACTGTTGGAGTGAAACATTTCAGGCACACAAGAGAAGGAGGTCAGACTACTCCATGTGGGTTAGTGTTGGAGACATGTAGATATGGCTGGTTATATACAGAAATATTTAATATAAAAATATTCATAGATATGTGCATGTATACACAAGTAGTATACACACATATATTTTCTTGTCCCATCATCTGAGAAGAGTTGGCAACAAAACCACCGTAGTAACAACCAGTACAACAACTAGCACATGGATCTTTGCTTCTGATACCATTCTCTAATAAAAGGAACCAGGGCTCTTCAGAAAAATGGATATCCTAGGACTGGGTAAGAAAATATATAAGATGCCTGGAATATTCTGTTGCACTAGAAAGTATGAAAGTTCTTTAAAAAAAAATTTAAAATACCACATTGAGAGAAGAGACTCAGGAGTCAACCGAAACAACTCCCAATGGCCAAAGCTAGAATGATTTGGGCAACAAAATAAATAAAGTAGTAGTATTGGATTATTACTCGAAGTATAAAATATTTATTTATCTATACTAATATAAATAATTGAATAAATTAAAAATGGGAAAGAAGAAGCCAATCTCCCAAATACAAGAATTCCAAATAATTTAAGTAGATACAGCTCTCTCAAGGCAGTGGAACATAACTACCTATTCTTTAACTTTGGACCACTAGTAGTGCATTCCTTTGAAGGAGTACAGTATGGAAATGGAAGAGAGGGACTTTATAGAGCAGATACAACTAGTAGTATCTCCACTAGGAAATCAAAGTTAGCATCAACAGTAATGATGTATATTGATAGTATGTATCCTTGCCATGATGTTATAAGGATGGTACCTTATCTCTGTGGTCTTCCTTTCAAGAAACCCTATAACCCCAGACCAGACAGGAGAAAACATCAAAGTCCAATATAAGGTAGGTCTAGTACTAATCATCTGAATAGTACTCTTCAAAACTGTCAAAGTCACCAAAAACAAGGAAAGTGTAAGAGACCCTCACAGTCAAGAAGAGCCTAAGAAGATGTGACTAACTTTATGTAATGTGTGGTATGTCCCATTAGGTAAAAATTCAGCAACTCTGAATAAAGCATGAGTGTGGACTTTAGTTAGTAATAATGTATCAATATTAGTTTATTAGTTGTAATAATTGTACCATAACAATGAAAGATGTTAATTATAGGGGAAGTTGAGTGTGAAGTACACGATTCCTTCTTACAACTTTCCTGTAAATCTAAAACCATCCTAAATAGTAATGTTTTATTTTAAAAAATAAAAAAAAATGAATGGCTAATGGAAGTTCTTCAAACAAAAAATAAACAAAAGAAGACAATTTGGAATATCAGAAATAAAGAAAGAACAATGTGAAATATAAAATTATGAGTAAATGTAGGACAATATCCTTTTCTCCTGAGTTTTTAAAATTATAGTTGATAGTTTAAACAATAACCATAACATTGATGTGATCTCAATGTATGCAGAGAAAATATTTAAGACAACTATATTATAAATGAAAGAGTAAAAGGAGTAAATTGAGGTAAGGTCTGCCTTTTACTCAAAATGATAAAATGTTTGTATCAATAAATGGTGATAAGTTATGCATATATAATGTAATACCTACAGCAACCACTAAAAAAGTGTATGTACAAAAACACATTAGATAAATAAGAATGAAATAAACAAATAAAAGTAAAATTTTATCATAGTATAACTTGCATATATACAAGGGTTACAAATTATAAAAGAAAGATCAGTTAATTTTTACCAAGTGAACTCATACCAATGATGAAACCTCATGAGCCTTCTTTATGCACCTCCCAGTCATTAACTCCCCTAAAGACACCATTAGATTAATTCTGCTTGTTTTTGAAGGTTTTATAAATATAAGTCTATAGTATGTGGCTCTTAATTTTTTATGTTTTAATTGACAAATAAAAATTATATCTATTCTGTACAGTGTGTTTTGAAATATGCATACATTATAGAATGGCTAAACAGAGCTCATTAACATAACTTTACCTCACATACTTAGAATTATTTGGATGAAACACTTAAAATCTACTCTCTCAACAATTTTTGAGAATACAATACATTGTTTTTAGCTACAGTCACCATGTTGTACAATAGTTCTCTTGAATTTATTCCACCTACCTAACTAAAATTTTGTATTCTTTGACAAACATCTCTCCAATGCTGACCATTCCCAGGCCTTAGCAACCACCATTCTACTATTTCTATGAGTTCAATTTTATTAGATTCCACAGAAAAGTAAGATCATGTGGTTTTTGTCTTTTTACACCTGGCTTATTTCACTTAGTATAATGTCCTCCAGGTTCACTCATATTGTTATAAATGAGAGAATTTCCCTCTTTTTTCAAGGCTGAATAGCATTTCACGGTGCATATAAACCACATTTTCTTTATTCATTCATCTCCTCATTGCTTCTTCGCCCTTTGGCTAAGATCAAGAGTGTGTAGCTTCTCCCCATAGGCTCTTAAGTTGATT